TGGCTAAGTGTTCATCCACTGGTAGGAACGTCGCGGGTTCGAAACTCAAAGTTTGATAAGACGCACACTGTTGATGATTCCCAGCGGGGATGAAATAGCTGAAAAGTTTTTGTAAGCAAAGACTGGTATCGCTGATACTATCATTTATCTGAAGAACTCTTTTCAGCTAACAGATGTAACGGAACACATCACTAAAAAGTTCTTATCCACTGACATTGACGATCTAGTCACAAACGTCCCGGTACATGAGACCGTTGACTTCATCTGAGATTTTACATTCAACCATAGTTCGTCAGTACACATGAACTCACGGTTTTATTCCTAAATATTGCTTACAGACTGACCGAAATTTCACTGCCAGGAAGGTCAGATTCCCGAAACCTACTGTCATCAAAATCTCAACAGGGAAGCCAGCAAGAATCCAGGCCAGTCAGTCACTCGATCGATTCGGCAAAAACCACTGAGTGCTCAGGTACGCGACAGAAGCACGGGCGACTATGATCAGTGTTCAGGCATTTCTGACAAGCACGGTCGATGTTGATCTGTGTTCAGTAAACGCTAATCAGACAGCCTGGATCAATGTCAGAAAGTGCCTCTTGAATAGTGCAGGGCTGTTGTAATTTTCCGCTCGCACACTCTCAACTGTTGTAATAAAGCTGTTGTACTCTTCTCAGGGAGTCTTTTTACGGCACTAGGGACTGGGACAGCAGTCAGATATAACTCTTTAGGTGATTGAAAGTCGATATTTCACTTGTCACTAAAACCAAAATCTGAATCCATCGTAAATCGTCTGAATTCTGTTTGCACGAACTTTTCCGTTTCTCACGAGAGTGAACACGGTAGTGGGCTACAACTTCTGGATGTCCCGTTCTGTACAGGTGCATACTAACACGGTTTCGGTCGAATTCCGTTTTATTTAACGCACAAAATTTGTATAATTGACCAAAAAGGAAACCCTCATTGTTTGTGGAAGGGGGGGGGGCGAGATGGCTCGAGTGGTTAGAGCGCGAATTTACTGACCGGAAGGTCAGTGGTTTGAACCCGACCTCTGCCTCTCGACTTCCGCTGCCATGGCTTGGGCGACCTGGCAGTATGCCAGCCCTCGTGCTTCCTTCGGGTAGCACGGCAGCTAGGCACCGGAAGGGTGTTACAGCTGAACGATTTTTTATTTTTGTGGATACCCAAAAGTCCAAGCTTGAGAACTTGACAATTCAATACTACAATAAAGCAAAAGAACTGGGACATCAATGGGACGTGTTTATCGGGAAGCATTTATATTCATGTTGCATACAACTAGGGCTGGTCATCCCCGAAACTGGTTCCAAAATTCAAACAATCAGTTTATCTTCCGTTGTTTCTCAGTTCAATTGCAGCTTCAGTAACTCAAATATCGGTAGGACTGACCGTACGGGCGGCGTAACATATACTTAAACAAGTATCACGTAGAATGGTAGGTGACAGTACGACAGAGGCACGAGCTTGGAATCCAGCGGCGTCGGCTACGAAATATCCTTGGAGCAAAGGTGAGATCGCTGACTCCAAAGGCCGTATGACTACGATACCATAGTCCCCATTTGTTCGCCTTCTATGAACTGATGTTGATGAGACTACACTCACCTTGCGAACAGAAGCTGATGGAGTCTCCCGCTATAGAGGTGCCCTAGCTCACTCCACGCCGAAGTTCACTTGTTGGTATTTTATGAATTGTTGTCTCCATGCCCCCCCCCTGTGTGCATAACTCCTTATTTCAAGTTCTCAGTTGATGAGCGTAAATGATATGCTCATCCTCCAAGATTTCTGATGTCCTGGTGTTTTATTTAACGATCTTTGATACCTCCGTTCTGTACTGCGGTAGACTCTCTCTCTCTCTCTCGGGCTCCCGAAATTCTACCTTATATCGCAACTATGGCAGTGCTAGAACACTAGCTAACATTTTCGAGGGATCATCTTCATTGGATACATCAACGCTTCAGTGCCGAGTTGAGCGGTGCCCAGCTGCCATACCACCTGAAGTAAGAACGATGGCCGAGATACCGTCAGGTTACCCAACTCAGACAGAAGCCGAGGTCGGGTTCAAACCACGAACCTTCTGGTCAGTAAATTCGCCGAACAATTTACCCCCCTTGTCAGGGTTCGCACATTTAAGAAACCGTTGGTCCAAAAGGCTGACCACAAAGTTGCGGGTGAATACCGACATGTACAGTAGTTGTACGCTTTTTAAGGATCAGGTCACGGTACAACTTCCAACTCTCAACTTAAAAAGACCTGTGGTTCCGAGGCTTGTATTCACTGGTCAATTTGGTATGGGGAACCTTATGGATATAAAAGTGACACTCATTAGGTTTCAGAAGTACACAAAAAGCCATATCACCATACATTCCAGTCTAATCACGGCATATTTGCAATAGAAGAAACGTTTCTCAGACGGCAAATTCATTTCTGTTCGGAGAACGCCTCAAGGCATCCAGTATAAACCTGCAAGACGCACATAAAGGGCTCCGGGATCCGATATTTCAACAAAGGTCTAGGAAGCTCGAGATGGTCCAATGATTACAACGCGAAAATATTAACCGGAAGGTTCCTGGTTCGAACCCAACCTTAGCGTCTAGACTGCTCCTGTCTAGACTTGGGCAACCTAGCACTATCTCAGCCCTCATGCTTCCTTCGGGTAGCTCGACAGCTAGACATCGAAAGGGTAGTACAGCTGAATGATTATCATGGCCTAGGAACAGTCATCGACACCATCAAACTGGATACCAGGTTGGTTAATGGTTAGAGGTCTGACGAACATAGCCTCCTAGCCCTCCAGGTTGGGGGTTGGAACATGTGGTGACTTGTTCCTTAAAAATGCTAATGCATTCACATCTCTCCTCAAACACCGATGCCTTGCGGTTAGGCTTTTTAGCCAAACGCTTTGGTTGAGGATCCCAATTGTCCTGGCAGTATCCCAGCCCACGTGCAACTATGACGTACGGCAGTGAAGCATCGGTGTTGAAGACTGATGTCATGCTGTCGATGATGATGGGAATACGTTATCCATTATTTGCAATGGTTTTGTTAGGCTGCCCACATTCTTGTTGAGTCAAATATGGCCTTAATTAACAGAGTTGGACACACAGAAGTGGAAAACGATTTTCATGCACAATCAACTCAGTTCAACATGATGGTCGTAGATCACCCAAAGTTCAATAAAGCAAACTTATTTTGTGGTTGAATCTCCAGTAGCTACTACGTCCAAGTGAAAGAAGGAAGACTGCGGAGTTAATCATTAGAAAATGCCAACTGACCAGTTACAGACTATTGGACAGGGAAGCAAAACTCTCGTTTGCATCTTATTTACAAAAAATGAACATCCATCTTCTCTTGAACACGTCTTCCTGAACTTTCCTGACTGTTGCTCAAGCTAAAGCGAATGCTGCAAAGCAACTTCGCAAATTTCGCAATTGCTCTCCCTTTTCAAGAGACGCAAAGCGAATTTACCCGAAAACATACTACTCGCATGCCTCCCCATCATTAGCATCATCGTTACAAACCTTCCCCCCTTGAAGAGGGAATTTCTGAGTCTCAAACGGTATTTGAGTCATGATTCCATTCCAACCGGTCCTTATCAGCTGAGTACCACTAGCATACACGGTCGGGTATTCATCAGATTGTCTGGTGAAACAGTTTTCAGTCCCGGCCTGTTCTTCCGTAGCGTGATCAGTATTATCACAGTGTCCGGGATTGGGTTTCACGATGGTGAAAACCGTACAGGTCTCCATCAGTGGTCATTTCGGCGAAATACCTTCAGACCAGGTATCAACGCGGTTGGATGCCCTCCCTAGCTTTCGAATTATAAGCGCGTTACCCACAAGAACTTGACAGCTAGCACGAAAACCACAGGAAGTGGTCGCAGTGGATACAAACCTTTCGCGAAAATCTAAAAGCCACTCCCATGATGTATTTTAAGCTGGTCAAAGAAGGATCAGCACAAAAAAAACACTGCAACCTTTTCAAGTAAAGCTATCTTACGTGCCGCAAGGCAAACGCACATTCTGTGCAATCCCCCAATGAGTAGGATGGCTGACGTTAGCAAGATATGACTTTGAAGAAATTATATTAGCGCTAAGGTGACGCTCCTGTTGATGTTGTTTTCCCACAGTAATTTGGTGTTACGAGATAAAGAGAATCTACGACCTGAGCTACCAGGGCTAAACTCGACCTTCGATCACGTGACGCTTGAGTTAAGAGTGTGAGGTCAAGGCTTGGGTCGAATCACGCTACGTGGACTTAACAAGTCCCAGCCAAGGCGACACGTGCGACGAATTGCATTTTAAGCGCAAGAACACCAAACCCATGGTTGTGTGTCACCACGCCCATAAAAGGAGTGTGAAGAGCAAGGAGTAATTGACGGTAGCAACTAGTTTCCTAATAAATCTGTGGCCTGGGCTAAGACTAATTAAATCATACACGCGATGCGCAAACATAAGGCCGGGATACTACTGAAAACGCCTCTGAAAAGATAAAATTCACAAAATTGAGTTTCATGAGGGCTGTCGTCCATCTTTTATCGATCCATCGTTGGGCTTTTCGTGATGATTTTAAGGTAAACGGTGCAGAACAACCCAACGCATTCGGTGGGCCCTTGAGGGAGCATGCGCTTCCCGAGAAGTCGTGTGAAGGGATCTTTCTGGATCAAACTACTGAACATTTTGTAAGTAGCGAATGAAAAAAAGAAGTTTCTATGTAAATCAGACGTCCATCGCCGGTCCTAGTTCCATTCCACTTTTTAAAGTATCTTTGTGGTAAACAGTCTAGCATACATCAAGTACCTGCGTTTGCGTCGCGGCCATGATTTGGGCCGACCGAGTTGTCATTAGCAGTTACCCATGCTGTCTGGAAGGAGGGTAAGCACAACCTGCGGAAATGAACAGGGCTTGTGAAAGACAAATCAGTGTGAAAGTCTTTATCACAAATAAATAATCTTTTCAGCTGAAATGCGATAGAAAGAGAGGGGTTGATTAGGGGACTTTGGATGCGGCAAATTTAACGGATTTCATGTGAGCGGCCTGCTTCAATTCGACAGGGGTAAGTGGTGACGAGAGCTCGATTCCAAGTTTTTGTCTGTAATACAGTGTCAAATCAATAACATGGAGTAGGTCACCAGTAAGTACGTGGACCAACACACGCAATTCCTCTGACAAACTAGATGGGAACTTCACCGGCTGGTTCACAGGCGTATCCACATCAGGACACTGCTCAGAAATCCAACGCCAAAACGCTAGTCTCGTTGAGGGTTTAGCTAAGGTCAACAGACTAGCGGACTGCCGCATTTTTGAGAACTTTAGGTATTCGTCGACAGAAAGCTGAGAAATCTTCCTGTCAATGCGTTCCAAACGGAGACGTCTGCCCTCCACAAACGGTGCGTAGTGTTTGGGCAAGAGTTCGCAATCGTCGTCCGCGATTTGGATCTTGAGTTGAGCAGATACGTCCATCAGGCGTTTTAGGCTATTCCTTTTTAGCATGATCATAGACAAATAGGTTTCTTCGTCATCTTCCAGGTTACCGAGTGTGTCGTCCTCGCTGTAACCGCTATCCAGCACACGATAGTAATCCATCACTCTTGCAAGCCGCAGTGGGTCATTCCGAACGGCTAACAATATGTTCTCCAACGAAAGTCGTTGGCTTCGCAATCCTCTGATCAGCTGACCAGCATAAGAGCAGAGCTGGGTGTAAAGCAACTCGGTGACCTCCGGTGCTGCGACATAAGGTTCACCACAACAACGAACCAGGTCACCAATAATTGATTTGATGCTATCAGACATAGAAGACTCTCGGGCTGTCATTGTCAGTCATTGTGAGAAACATAACGATATTGGAAAGGGTTCCGCCAGATTATGAACTCGGCTCTGGGTGTTTGCTGAAATGAAGAACGAAAAGCCGGCTAAGAAATGGAAGCCACAAAGCAATAACGGAGAACCATAGGCGCAATCACAGCATCAAACAAACACCACACATGTTTCGCCTGAAAGTATAATGATGACCAATAAAAAACCAATCGTTCAGATGCAGTATAACTTCGGTGCCTAGCCACCATGCTAACAGAAGGAGGCATGAGAGCTGAGATACTGTCGAGATGCTGGAGTTGGGTTCGAACCACGGGCTTTCCGGTCAGTAAGTCCGCGCCTTGGTCATTTACTTGGTTCCTGAGTGGCAGAACCATTTGTGAAACATGAGCCTAGTTGATTCCAATTCTCCGTGACCTCAATGTATCACCAATCGTTTCGTCAGTCAGCCATGCGCCAAATAGACGTTCGGTATAGAGTATCGTAATGAACCAACGCATCTCTGCACACGACGCAACATTACAAATGCATGATATACACCACAATGTGTCAGTAAATAAACAAGTGTAGGACAACATATCTGGCGACGGGGACAGCACCGACTTGGCACGTCAGCAAAAACCAATTAAACAACAGAGAGTATAGGAAACAATTGATTTAAGCGGAAATGAAGCGTATATTTCGCTAATAGAGTCACAGTCAATTGAGTTCCAGCCTCCAACAGCATTCTGGGACGCTAGTGAACTGTCCATTTTTGCACTGTCCATTTGCACCATTCGGGGACGCTAGTGAACTGTCCATTTGCACCCAAACATATGCACAAAGATGGCAATGCGACCTACGTGACCCTGAAAATGATTGGACAGGGACACAGCGTTTTGGTTTCGGGTATGTGGCAACTACGCCAGCGTATGCTCCAATTATTCCAGAGATGTGNGCATCAAACAAACACCACACATGTTTCGCTTGAAAGTATGATGATTACCAATAAAGAACCAATCCTTCACATGCAGTATAACATCGGTGCCTAGCCACAGAAGGAGGCACGAGAGCTGAGATACTGAGGCACGAGAGCTTAGATACTGTCGAGATGCTGGAGTTGGGTTCGAACCACGGGCTTTCCTGTCAGTAAATCCGCGCCTTTGTCATTTACTTGGTTCTTTAAGGGCAGAGTACAGCGACCGACGGGGGCCACGAACCATTTGTGGAAAATGCGCCTAGTTGATTCCAGTTCTCCGTGACCTCAGTGCATCACCAATCGTTTCGTCAGTCAGCCATGCGCCAAATAGTAGTTCGGTATAGAGGATCGTGATGAACCAACGCATCTCTGCACACGAAGCAAAATTACAAATTTCTTAGTGTAGAACACAATGTGTCAGTAAATAAACAAGTGTATGACAACAACATATCTGGCGACGGGGACAGCACCGACTTGGCACGTCAGCAAAAAGCAAACAACTGATTTGATTGAAACAATTGATTTAAGCGGAAATGGGGCGAATATTTCACCAATAGAATCACAGTTAGTGGAGATCGAGCCTGAAACATCATTCTGGGACGCTAGTGAACTGTCCATTTTTGCACTGTTCACCTGCACCCAAACATATGCACAAGGATGGCAATGTGACCTACGTGACCCTGAAAATGATTGGACAGGGACACAGCGCTTTGGTTTCGGGTACGCCTCAACTACGCCAACCTATGCTCCAATTATTCCAGATAAGTTTAGATGGAATAGCTGCTCCTTAGATTAACATTGGGCCTCTTCCAATTCCGATTAGGATGTTTTAATTGCAGGGCTTCTGAAAACAAAAACAGTCCCCCGTTTTGGAACACTCGCGTGGATTCCGACGACGCGCTCGTCCGAAGTCGCCTCTCCCTTCGTTTTCCAGGTTCGCATAAGGGAGGAATAAATAGCTTAGCAACTAAGATGTTAGACAAATTTACCAAAGTTCTCTTATGCAGTCTGCTCGTTTCCGAGCAGACATAGAGGGCGAGACGGCCCAAGTGGTTAGAGTGCGCATTTACTGACCGGATGGTCCGTGTGTTTGAATCCGACCTCTGGCACTTGACTTCCCCTGTCTAGGCATGGGCAACCTGGCAGGATCCCAGCGCTTGTGCTTCCTTCGGGTAGCATGGCAGCTAGACACCGAAAGGGTGTGACAGCTGAAAGATTTATTTATATATTATATTTTATTTGTGCATATATTACCGCTTCTAATCAACCATGCTTCGTTTTTGCTTTCAGCTTATGTACGTCTATTCTTAGACAAGTCAAGCGCCTTTCGATGCGTGCAATCCCGTTCGCTCTCGCGTCAAACAGGATCTAGACCCTATCTATAACAATTGACTTTTATAAGAATACAACGGAACCGTTACTGTGACCCAAGTGTTTCGATACAAACCG